ACATCATCAAAGTTAAGAGCCACTGAGATGATACAGAGTCCTAATTGTAATATGTAAATACAAAAATTGACAAATTACTTTCTTTCTTTTTTTTGCCCATATTTTGCAGTTTTTAGGAGACCTCAACTACTATGTAGTTAACCATTTAAAGCTATTTACTTATTATGTCCATACATACTGGTGCACTGTAAGCTCATTTCAAGAACTTTTATATGCATTTAATTCATTTTTGTACTTGCACTGTTAAATTTGCCCCAAACGTAACCCAACCCCTTACCTCAAAAACTAACTCTAACCCTTATAAGCTTAACCCTAACCCTACTCTTACTCCTAAACATAACCATACCTCAAACGCATTGCCATTATATGAAGGAATTTGTAGTGACACAGTAAATCTATAGTCTTGTAGGTATTTTAAGGGATAGTTCACCCAAATATGCATGCATATTACTAGCATGTTGTCTGTTCAATAGTAGTTATAAAGCACATATTAATGCATGACCATATTCTAGATCCCTTAGTCCTATCCAATACCTAAACATAACTACTACAACAACTACTTACTGTGAACAAGCAGCAAATTAGAAGTTTATTAAGAGAAAAGTCTTAATAGTGTTAATAGTGAATGTACGTTCCCTAGTCTAATGTGTTACCAAATCTTCTTTACTCTTCACCTGAAGAATAATGTCATCTACATCTTAGATGGCAGCAAAATTTATTTTTTATTTTTTGTAAACTCCATTTAATGTTACTACCAAGTAGTTGAGACCACGTTTTTATTAAAATGTATGTGAGCATAAATGAAAATGTTGATCTGTTTATCTGAAAGTGTTTAAATGTTTAGTTTTATTCATTAAAAGAAAAAAGTTTGTATCCTCTTTTAATCCCTTTTTTTAGTTCATTAATTAATAATCCTGAGTTGAATGAATTTCTGTAAGTACAAACATTACATGTAGTCTCTCACTGAACTCCAAAAAACTGCATGTGGAATTATAAATAAATCAGAAAATGTTGTTTAAAACCATTGCAGATGAAGCATGTGAAACTGAAGGACACTGCTGTCAATTCCTTGTGCAGTGCACACAAATGCTTGATAAATCAGGCTTCTGTGCCGTAAGTACACACATACAAATACAGCTTTACTGGTGACTTACTTATGGTGACCCGTTGGTTTTCCAGGGTTGTATTGCGGAACACTCCCAGACTTGTGTAGATTGTATCTGTATGGGCTTCCATAGAGAGTTCCTTTGGCATCCGCCGAAGTCAGTAGCAACGTGACTAAGAGAAGACCCCCGCACTTGAATATCCCCCTCATCTTTAAGTAGCAGAGCAAAGGTTGACAAAAACACTTGCAGAAAGAACCATAAAGTGGAAGAGCACAGAGAAAGTGTATAGAAAGCAAAAGCTGTGGAGAGAGGGGGGAAGCAAAGTCAGCTGGGCTTTAGAGTCCGGAGGTTGTGAAGTGTTGCTTGTTTTCCTTGCTGAGTCCCACAAGGTTTCTCTGGAGCACTGACTTCAGTTGTTGGCGGGCAAGCAGCGCTGCAATCGAAACATCTGCTGTTCTGGCACCATCCTGCCCACTTTACCACTCACACGAGAGAGAGAGACAGACAGAGGAGAAAGCGAAGAGGACAGGGCAGCGGTAGCAGAATACTGAAGCTCAGATCCCTCTATCAACAGTCTAGCGCGAGTCGACCCTGCAGCTGCAGCTCTGAGGGGGACGCACGCATTTGCATATCCCTCCCCAAACCCCGGCCTGAAATGAGACCCAGCAGGGGTGAACCCGTTCACTTTATGTTTCTCCCAAAACAGAAACCCCTGGAACCCCTCAAAGACGAGAGTGCATTTAGAAAGATTAACCAACGCAATTGTCTCCCTGCTTGTTCGTTTGGACGCAGTTTTAATCGGTGGCTCATGTGTAAAAAGCATGCTGGGATTATGAATATTTCCTTTGGGTTCCTCTGTGCCAAAATCTCCACCCCCCCTTCATTGACCTCAGCCCATAACCTTCTCACTTGCCTGCAGCTATAAATCTCCAAACATTTATTTTGCAGGCTTTATTTCAGCATGACTTCTGCACTCGTAAAAAACAAATACATGTTGTTGCATTAAACAGAATTTTCAAAACATTTTCCATTGATTTTCATGCCTAATCTTTATTCATTATTCTGCATGTCACCATGTCTGATATGCACATATGGTAACACACTTGTTTAGGGACTAATTCTCACTATTAATTAGTTGCTTATTAGCATGCATATTACTAGCATATTGGCTGTTTATTATGAAGCACATATTAATGCCTTATTCTGCATGATCATATTGTATATATCCCTTAATCCAACCCAATACCTAAACTTAACAACTACCATACTAACTATTAATAAGCAGCAAATCAGGGGTTTATTAAGGCAAAGTTGTAGTTAATAGTTAGTTAATAGTAAGAATTGGTCCCCAAACTAAAGTGTGACTGTGCATATTAAGTTTATTCTACATGTTGTATTATGCTTTTGATATATAGGATGTGCCTGTTATGGCCACTGTGAGTGCATTTATTACCAATCATACATTTCTTGAGCATTACAAATATCCATAATACAGGAAAGAAAACTTTACTTGTCACTCCATTTCAGGGGATCTTTATGTGATCATATTGCTTTCGTAAATCTTTGATGTGTCGCACATTTTCCACACATTTAACGAGATGAATTGGCATTTGCAATGCTTTTAATTTTCATAATATGACATATTAAGTGAAAAAGAGGAATAGGTGGGAAATAATGTAGGGGTGGACACAGTGGGCTATGATATCATTGGTAAGCCTTTTTCTGGCCACCTGAGTTATTTGATTTTATATGATGTTTTTGATGGATTTTTTTTATTATGCCTTTATTATTCAGATAGGACAGTTGAGAGATGACAGGAAAGCATTGGGCAGAGAAAGGGGAGCGGGAACGGCATAAGAACTCGACACGGGAATCAAACTCGGGTCGCCGACTTGAAGGAAATTTTCATCTGTTAACTTGATTAAGTTAATCCTTTTGATTGTGTAAACAATTTCTACATAAAACTGCGGTGAAAGCCTCCAGTAACTCATGCACAGTAAAGCCTTCTACACACTGCAAAATTTTCGGCTGTCCCAGACGAAAGATTAATATCGTGAAACAATCGTGGCCATTTCTGTGATTGTGGCTCCTAAACGGTGGTCCTATGTCTTATCGTGAGAGAGGTTCAAAGACAGCCGTATGACCAAAGATAGCCTGCGATCATTTTCTGACAGTGTCAGAAATTCAGCAGGATCATCGCACACTGTGTTTGCTGCAACGTCCCACATTTACTGACCTGCCAATAAAAATGCAACATGAAATGGCATGTTGATCAACGCGGCATAGTGTTAAAACTTAAAGGGTTAGTTCACCCATAAATGAAAATTAGCCCATGTTTTACTCACCCTCAAAGCATCCTAGGTGTATATGACTTTCTTCTTTCAAATGAATCCAATCGAGTTATATAAAAAAATGATCCTTGCTCTTCCAAGCTTTAGAATGGGAGTAGGTGGGTGTTTTTGTTCAACAGTCAAAAAGTAGTCAAATAAAGCGCATCCATCCATATTAAACGTGCCTCACACAGCTCTGGCGGGGTGAATAAAGTCCTCCTGTAGTGAATCGATACATTTTTGTAAGAAAAATATCCATAATTCAAATGTTATAAACACTTTTCTCTCACTTCCACTAACTTTCGTAGGCGGATGACGTATAGGACGTAGGTGTAGCGCATCCTCCGTTTGTGTTTATAAAAAAGTGTTATGTTTAACGTTTAAATATGGATATTTTTCTTACAAAAATGCATTGATTTGCTATTGAAAAGACCAATCTAAACTGCCCGAGCTTGTGTGATGAACAGCAATAATGTATATCTAAATTTGACCCTTGTAGCGTCTCGACCAATCTGACACACTAATTTTAATTTGATTTAACAAATCAATTATTCATTAGGTTAACAAATCGTCACAGTCCCCTCACTCAATTAACTGGATGCCAGGATGTCTGCTGAACACCAGGCGCTCTGGTCGCCATGACAACTAATCATGATATCACTGGTTTTATGACCCCCCAGGAATGTGAGAAGGATAGCCCACTCTTGTCCCAAGGAAAAGCAGAGTAGAAATGGACTGTGTTCTAGTTAATTCATAGAAAAACCGTTATTTGAATGAACACACATATTTCTTCAGGCCATTGAGTATATTATTGTCATTGTGATTTAAAGGCGATTTTCTCAATATTTAGATTCCCTTTCAAGGGAACTTCGAACTGCGTCCTCTAGGGGTCGCTATGGGGAACGCCTCGTCATGACCCGTGTCTGAAGCATACATTAAAAAAACACCAACAACACGTTGGCCGGCGACAGCCCATGACGCCACTACCGGTGCGACTATTAGTATAAATAGGCGCCGAGAGAACATGTCATTCTCTTCTTCGTCTTCACTGACTGTTTTGTTTGAAGCATGCATTTGAACGTGGTAAGAGCGATTTCTATCCTATTATTATGGCGAGCATCCGTGTCGTCGCTATTTGACACCTGATGACACACATGACGCACGCGATGTCCTTGAGGGGGCAATTTGCGTGCATTGTGAGCATTTTTCGATGAAAAAGCTCCGCTCTCGTTGGTCTCTTTTTTCGAGAAAAGAGGGGCAGGCATCTGCTTCCCGCGGTTCAGGACCCGCCGCTGCTGAGGCACGGAGGAGAATGAGTTCATGGGGATCGCAGGTGGACCTGGCCGATGAGTTTAAAGAGGGGCTTTACCTCTCGCGCTCGTCGGCTGTGGACGAGAGAGAGCCGCTGGAGGATGATGTTATTTCTCTAACATCGTCTGATCCAGGGGCCAGTGCTCTGCTGGGTTCAGCCCAGGAGGAGCAGGAGATGTCTGAGGACGGCGAAGAGCCTGAGGCTGAGCCTTCCCAATCCTCCTGCCCTGCGTATGATGAGCTGTTGGACGTTATGGATCGCGCCACGGCAAGGCTGGAGTTGCCGTGGAAGCGGGCCAAGAAAGTGATGTCGCAAGGTCGCCTCGATGAGCGTTTTCTTTCTGGCCATAACCCTCCAGCTCAGGTGAGCCTTACATTTCTTCCTGATTTGCATACTGAGATCGAGAAGTAATGGAAGAGGCCATTTTCCTCACACATCTAAGCTTTAAGCTCTGTGCACTTTCTGAAATCCACATAGTGGTAAGTGTGCACGTTGAACACTTTGCGCACTTTCTAAAATCCACAGTAGTGGTAAGTGTGCATGCTAGACTTTGCGTACTTTCTGAAATCCTGTACGGTTCCCTTTCTCTGAGTTGGTTAGACCCCGGTACCTTGGGCTCCACTCAACCAGTGTGTCTCTAATTTGACACACTTGGAAGTATCGCTCCTCTCACCATTGAGGGTTACTATGAGCATGCTGCTTCCTATCGAGCGCCTGGGTTCACTCCGTGGGCTGCTCTTGTGGTAATATTAGCAGTGCTCCCCTTTTTCCAAAGGGTTGCCTATGAGCGCGCTATTCTTTCTGAATTCTGAGTTCTCCTCTCACGTGAGAGTTGAGTTCTCTGTTTTTCCAAGAGCACCTGGAACCAGCAGCATCAGGTGATCATAGGCCCTTCTCTCTGCCTCTCTGATGCACTGAGTTTTTTGGCTAGCTTGCAGTACGCTTACCCTCTGATTTTTAACGATCATGCTGTGCGAGCCCCCTCAGTAAATTATTGCTAGCTGTTCCAGCATTGGAACATGAGGTAGGTCGAGCTCCCCTCTCATTTGAGAGCCGGGTGTTTGCCCCCCTCAGCTAGAGATTTATTGCTAGCCAATCCAGCTTTATGCCTTAGATCGAGTTGGTGACTCTCAAACATATTGGTTTTTGGGATGCACCATTCCATCTATGAGCTGCTCTTTCAGAGTGCCACGAGAGCCCCTTAGAACGGTATCCTAAAATCCATGTTATAGTAAGTGTGCACGTAAGGCTTTGTGCACTTTCTAAAATCCACATTGTGGTAAGTTTGCACGCTAGTTCTTTGTGTTCTTTTCTAAAATCCTATATGGTGAGGGCTTTGTGCGGTTACTTCGTGCCCTTTCTTGAGCTGGTTAGAGCCCCATTCACCTCGGGCGCCACTCCACCTAGGTATCCTAGGATACCTACTTTAACAGGGTGTTGCTACTAGGGGTCTGTTGAGACAGTTCTTTTCAGAGCTTATGCAAGAGCAAGTGGTAGCCCCCGTGTGACAGGCCAAGAAGACCCCTAGAGGACGCAGTTCAAAGTTCCCTTGAAAGGGACCGGTAGTGACGTCATGGGCTGTCGCCGGTCAACGTGTTGTTGGTGTTTTTTCAATGTATGCTTCAGACACGGGTCACGACGAGGCATTCCCCATAGCGACCCCTAGAGGATACAGTGTCTCGTTCCCTACATAAGTAACCTGAGACGTTTTTTTGCACCCTCAGATTCCAGATTTTCAAATAGTTGTCTCGCGGCCAAATATTGTCCGATCCTAACAAACCATACATCAATGGAAAGCTTATTTATTAAGCATTCGGATGATGTATTAATCTCAATTTCAAAAAATTTACCCTTATGGCTGGTTTTGTGGTCCAGTGTCACAAATAAGTTCATGAGTTTATAAATTCATAGAGTTTTAGGTCATTGTGGGGCATGACAAACAATTCAAGACAGTTTGTTACAAGATCAGGAGTATTTCCTCATCCAATAACAGTTCCTCGAAGTTTACTGAGCCCACGAGGAAAAGCACTTCTCTCGTAGGTGTCAGGAGATCACATTTACAATGTCATGTTTGCTTTTCATTCACACATAATTACCTAAAGCAAAGAGCGCCAAGCAGTTTTATTTGCAGAAAGCTTCTTGCAAGAATGCATCAATGCAAAGAGACCAAATGCACTCAGTTTTACTCGCACATACTGATGACAAACTTCACGTGCAATTAAATGTCAGAAATCATTGCATTTAGTTCACACTTCATTATTCTTTTAAAGTATTTCTGTATTAAGTACTATTTTTAAAAGTATGTGAAAGTGTACTTCTCTTTCACATGGGTAGATCAAGCATTTAAAAGTAACTAAGATGGCCCCCAAGTCTCTCTTTTTTTAAGTTTTGAGGAATAGTTTACTCAAAAATTAAACTTTGATGGTTACACTCTTACCTCTTTACATTATAAACTCCTATGCTGTTTTTTTTTTTTTTACATTGAACAAAAATGGAAAGGTTTTGAATAAGCTTCATGCAGCTCTTTTCTATACAATGGCAGTTCATAGTGACATCTGTCAAATTACAAAAATGACGATAATAAAATTGGTCAATAAGTTTTGAGGAATAGTTTACTCAAAAATTAAACTTTGATGGTTACACTCTTACCTCTTTACATTATAAACTCCTATGCTGTTTTTTTTTTTTTACATTGAACAAAAATGGAAAGGTTTTGAATAAGCTTCATGCAGCTCTTTTCTATACAATGGCAGTTCATAGTGACATCTGTCAAATTACAAAAATGACGATAATAAAATTGGTCAAAATTGGTTGTGTGTCACATACCAAATCTCCTGCAGTCCTGCTGTGTTATAAAGAGAGATTCAGGTCTCTCTTCACTGATAATCTTCCCCTCCAGCGAAGCTCACAGCTAGAATAACTTTAATAAAATAGTGCATAAGTTGAATTGACTGTTTAATGATATCTGTGGGCTTAACAGACAGGGTCATTATGAACTGTTTAAAACATACATGCTACATTTCTAAATTGATACAACTGATCATTTTACACTAAAATCCATTCTTCTTCCTGAATCACTCTGTGATACACAATGAAGATGAATAGCAAACTTATAATCTTTAAACTTAAATAATTAAATTTAGTCATTGTATTACTTAGTTATCTGTGCTCCTCACCACTCATTAAACATCTGTGAACGATTTCAGATAAGCACACTTATCTCCACTGCCAAATCGCTTCCATGCATAGGAGAGAAATGTACTTTCATTAGCATATTTGCACTGTATTGTTCACCACATGAAAATGTTAATACATCGCAGATTTAGAAAGCCCATGTGCTCACTGTTGTCTGACTGCAGCAGGGGATTTCATTTAATGCAATAACCTCCAAACTGCAGTGCAATTTATAAACCGAGCGTCTCTGCGGATTCTTGAAATGTGTCCCGAACTGACAAGTTGTTAAAAGCACCCCAGATTTATAGAGAAAGTGTAAAACATGAGCTATTGTAACACAATCCGCACACATCTACATGCAATACGCATGAGCACAGCACTGTAGTGAGAAACTGAAGAGTGATATATTATAATGAAAGTGATACTGATACCTTTCTCTCCAGAAATGAGGCCCACATCTCCCCAACAGACTTCTTTAGTTGTTCTGAAACAACCTTTGGAAGGACACCAGAGAAATGACAAAAGCTATTTAACAGAACAGATGCTGGCCAAATTTTTCTAATGGTGACCTGCTCCCTATCAAGTGAAATAAAAGCTGAGAAGATATGACAACTATATTGGTTTAATAATGTGGGCATGTTGACAGATCCATCCATAACATATTAAATCATGATGCCTGTGTACACATAATAGAGGAGCTAGCAAACAGATCTGCAATAGATGGAGAGAGTTACCCATTAGCTTTGTTGTGTGTTTTTGTCATTTTTATATTGTATAAAATATTGATGTTATATAATTTCTAGATAGTTTTATATATTTTTATACGCTATTCGTTTTCTTAGTCTTTACTTATTTTAGTAGTACTTCACCATAAATTGGATGAAAATGAGAAATGTTGCCTAGCTGTTTAAGGTTTTTTATATTTTCTTTTATTTAAGTTAATGTTTATTTTAAATTTTATTTCATGTAATGATTTTTATCTATGGTTTCAGGGTTTCACTTTATTTTGATGGCCCCTTTAACACATTCCGTTGACTGTAAGCAATATTTCTCTTACATATAAGCTAACTCTCATTAGAGTGTTAGTAGAGTATTAGTAGACTGGTAGGGTTAGAGTTAGAATAAGCTGACATGTACTTGTAATAGTTACTGATAGTCAGTAGAGTGTTTGTTGAGAGACCATAACAATAAAGAGTTAGCCGATATTAAGCAGACAGTCTACTAATACTCTAATGAGAGTTAGTTGACACATAGGTGCTAATTTACTTATCGTCAACGGAATGCTCAAAAGGGACCATCAATATAAAGTGTTACCCGTTTCGGTTTTGGTCAATGATAATAACCCTGATGTGGACAAACACATTCTTCAAATATCTTCCATCACGTTCACACAAGTTTAAAACAATATGAATAAATGACGACAGAATTTTCATCGTCAGGTGGATATATAGTGTTAGTTTCCTTTGAATTGCCATTCCAGTTTACAGGAGACTTGGGTCTGAAGGTGAGAATGCTAAAAAGGACACAGACTGTGAGTGAGATTATCAGTTTGAACCCATAAATTCCTCTGAGTCTACAGTATGCATGCACAAACAGACAATACAGTGGTGGTTTGTGACTTCCTCACACAGATCAGGAATGTTTCGAAGGTTTGGGAAGAACACAGATTCCCCAGTGCTCTAGACGAGTGGGAGAGAATAGCTATTCTCAACATGGACTCAATGACTGTATTTCTCCACTGATGAACATCTGGACAGCTTTACCTTGCTTAATTTGACACCTTGATCTTCAGCAGACACTGGTCTAAACCTGACCTAGCAAATATTCAATAACTAAAGATTTGGTGTGCATTTCGGTAACACTTTATTTCGATAGTCCACTTTAGACATTCTATTAACAGTAAGTAACTTTGCAACTACATGTCAACTAGTAGTCAATAAAGTATTAGTAGACTGTCTGCTTAATATCTTCTAACACTTTATTTGTCAACTTATTCTACTAACTCTAAACCTACTCTAACAGTCTACTCTGAGAGTTAGTAGACATGTAGTTACAAATTAGTGAGAATTAGTTGACATGTAGTTACAAAGTTACTTATAGTTAGTAGAATGTCTAAAGTGGACTATTGAAATAAAGTGTAACCTGCATTTCTTCTACCCGATAACAAAGAAAAAGAAAACCCTGTAACCTACTTAAAGATATTATAATATATTTTTTTAAAGCACTTACTGTAAGTGTACTTAAGAAGAGTACATTTGAATGACTACATGTTAAATTACATTTAAAAAAAATCTGTTGTTCCTTTAAACAAGAACACTTATTTAAAATGTTGACTTGCATAAAAAAGCACATTCACATCAAAAGTATTTGATCCTTACAAGTGTGTAATTACAAATACATTTAAATACATGGCATACAAGTTTCAATAGTCAAGTCAAGTCTGCTTTATTGTCAATTCTTCCACATGTACAGCACATACACACAGAGAATTGAAATTGCGTTACTCTCAGACCCTTGGTGCATACAGATAACATAAATACAGATAGGTACAGATTAAATACAAAATACAAAATACAACTATACAAATATACAAATAAGGTAAAATGTAAAAAATATATATATATAAAGCACAAGGCATATGGCAGATAGAGTGCAAACCAGTAAAAGTAAACAACAGTGCAGATATAATGATTGTAGTGCAAAAAACAATGATTTGTAGTGCAAAAGAGCTTATTTAGACTGATTAAAGTGACAGTGTGTGTGTATTTGGGAGGGGGGGGGAGTGGGAGAGTCCGTCAGAGGGTCAGAGTTCAGAGGTGCGTGGGGCAAAAGAGGGGAGGGGGGGCAAGGTCGGGAGGGAGTTCAGCTTCCTGTGGTTAAATACCAATGGTTATTTAGGCTAATTATGCATTCTTTATAGCAACTTGTTCATCATATTCTTCATTCTTTCAAGCAGACATATTTATTTCTATAAATAAATTTAGAATCATTTTTAGGTCTGCTAAAGTTTTTCAGTGAAGAGCAGTGTGTGATTTTCTGTTTTTCTGTTGTTGCTTGATTAACACCAATGACTCGGACAATAGAAACTAAATTAGGCTGCTATCCCTTTAAAACCGGATGCAATGTACACGTTCTCCATGCTGTTTACATTTACTTCAGACGTAATTAACTATTTACGTGAATACTCATCAAAATGGACAGTTGGACATCGTGGCTGCATCCGAAATCTTAGGCAGCTGACTTGCCTCGCTGCCATATGAGGCAATGACTTTGCAGGCAGCGTTTTTGCACGTAGACACCTCATGAAATTGATTTCGGACAGGCTTCTGAGGCAGCATAACGGATTAATGATCTACAACAAAATGGAACAAGATTTTGTGATAACTAAATTAATATTTAATTACAATAATTACGAAAATGTCAATAGATTTACGTCATAGTTTTTGTCATTCAAAAAGAGTTTTAGTTCGTTATCATCTCGTTGTCGTCGGTGGAAAAATGTAATTGACGAAAATTATTCGTCAATCAAATTAACACTGCTACCATCCCTGTTACCCCCTTCATAGGAGTTATACTTGGTGAAATGGAAGGGCTACCCAGAATCCAGCAACACATGGGAACCACGGAGGAACCTGAAGTGCATAGATCTTCTCAACCAGTTCTGGGAGGACCTGAATGCAGAGATGCAGAGACAGAAGAAACGTGCTGCCCCTCGTCGCCTAGACCCTGCCACTGTGTCACAGCTCATCCAGCGGGCGAAACTCCGACAGACCCTTAAACAGTGGGAGACGCACCTCAACGGCTTGGGCACCCACAAGGGCCACATCTACGTACGGAACCAGGTCGACCTGGAAGGCCCACCTAAGAACTTCACCTACATAAATGACTATAAAGTCGGTGATGGGATCATGCTGAATGAGGTATCCGTGGGCTGCGAATGTACAGACTGCCTTGGCAACCCTGTGGAGGGATGCTGTGCCGGAGCGTCTCAGCACAAGTTTGCTTACAATGAGTTAGGCCAGGTCCGCATCCGGCCTGGGTTGCCCATTTACGAATGCAACAAGCGGTGCCATTGCGGGATCGACTGCCCCAACAGAGTGGTGCAGAGGGGAATTCAGTATTCCCTCTGCATTTTTAAGACAGACAATGGAAGGGGATGGGGGGTAAAGACCATGGAGCGCATTCGGAAGAACACTTTCGTTATGGAGTACGTCGGGGAGGTGAGAAGCACAGGAGGGCTTGTGCTATATATTTACTTCCTGCACGGATTAAGTTTTTTTTTTTTTTGGTAATATGTATTGGTGGCACTCAGTCACTTTGGCTTAGACAAGTAGTTTTTTTCACCTTCAGTTGAATATTGCCATTCTGTCAGTCTAAGGTTTTTGTGTTATCATAGAAATGTTTTGCTTCACTTGTAGATAATGGCATTATCAATCAACGTTTTAGTTTCCTTGTGACGGCTGATGAGCTTTCTTTGTCTTTCCCAGAAGTGAGTCTGGCTTCATGATTGTTAAACCCTCTTTTTATCTGTTTTTGCTTTAGATCATTACAACAGAAGAAGCAGATTGCAGAGGTCACATATACGATAAAGAAGGCGCCACCTATCTTTTTGACCTGGATTATGTTGACGACGAGTACACCGTGGATGCTGCTCACTATGGAAACATCTCTCACTTTGTCAATCACAGTGTGAGTGGATTGGACTTGAGCTTGCATTGTCTTGTAAACAACTGACTTGATAGCAGTTAAACCGTAGCTTTTTATCTGAGGGCAGTAAATTGAATATCACAAATGTTTTCTTTTGTCTCCTTAGTGTGACCCCAACCTCCAGGTATATAATGTGTTTATTGATAACCTGGATGAGCGGCTGCCGCGGATAGCGTTCTTTGCCACACGTGGGATAAAGGCAGGAGAGGAGCTCACATTTGACTACAAAATGAAAAGTAAGTGTGGGACTGTATAGAAAAAGAGTGTCTAGTTATTTCTAATATTTTCATTAACTTGGTGACACTTCTTTTACCATTTAATTATTTAGATCAATTGATTCATATACTACCATTCATATGCATTAAATTGATCAAAAGTGACAGAAAAGACAGTTTGTACAGGGTTCCCACACTTCTTGAAAGTACTTGAATTGTAGACAAGGATTCAAGGTCTGGAAAGTACTTGAAAACAAACATGCGTCCTTGAAAGTGCTTGAAATAAATTTTATGGTTTATGCTATTTAAAAAATGGTCCTATATGTGCTATCAAAGACGAAAACAGCTCTAGTGATTGGGGTGGAGATGGGGTAGTGCGAAAAAAAAAAACCTAGCATGTGTGTTGATGTGCAGCCTAGAGCCCTGCACGGGACTGTTTTCTTAAGCCTGCTCCCACTGAATTTCTGACCATTACTGCCCGCTCCCGTAAACATTCTAATATTTTATATAATTTTCGCACATCAGGGAGCCGCTATTAATATGCGGGGTATTGAAATCGCATTTGAATGAACGCTCGCTGTTCACTTTCGATTTCGCGATCAATCGCTCTCTGTGTAAAGGGAGCACATCTTACAAGATCAGATATTTGTCAGTGAGCTCAGGATCTGTCGAGCAGCAAATCCTCCAGCATTGTCAGTCATCTCTCGTGACTCGTGATCAGTCAAATCTGACTCCTGCAGCTTGTGTATGGATGCAGGGCATACCTGTCGACACTCCCGTTTTTCCCGGGAGTCTCTCGTATTTCACACCCATCTCCCGCCCCCGTCCTGTTTTGTTATTTCTCCCAGGAAACTCCCGTAATTTGTATGGCCCTACCTCGATATATGAATAATCACATCAATACTTGATTCCATCAATTCCAAGGTTGTCCAGTTGCCAGATATTGTATGAAACGCTTCCTACTCACACAATAGACAGATCATACAATTTTGAACCCATTTGTGACCTCAACCTGGCAACCTACAACTCAGTTGCGCTGTTGATATCTGTGCATATAGACTGGGGAAGCTGAATGAAGCATCGCTGGTAGAAATGGCATTAGATAGCTCAGGTGGTGCTACGGCGAAAAAAAACTAAACAAAATATAGCTGCAAATTCAACAACAGCTAGACAGATCATTGCGAAGCAGCATCGACAATTCCCACGCTTTTTGCAAAGTGTGTCGCACTGATTTTAGTATCGGACACGGTGGGAAAAATTTTGTGATGGAGGGCCACTGGTAGGAAGCCTCTGAGCCGTTTTTTTTTTAATCAGTGTACATAACAATGACACTATGTATTTTAGGTATGGAAATGACATATTTTGAGTTTTGATATTTGGGATATGGTCATTGCGCTGCTTTCGACTGGCATGGTTTCGTTTTGTCACGCAGACCTGGCAGCTCTGGTGCAGCGCAGACACTTTCAGTTTAGTGTAGTGTACGTTTTCCAGCTAAACTAAATTTTCAATTTCTATTAAAAAAAAGCAAAACGACAGTAGGGGCGCTGGGCAAGTAATGTAATCTGTGTACAACCAAACACAGCGTAAACACATGCATCTCCATCATTCTTATATGGGCCAGACTGCGGGACCTGCGCAAAATTTTTTTTGAACGCCCATTCCCGCCCGCAGTAAAGGTAAAACCGCCGTAAAAAAAGATTTGCATCCCACAGGATCCCAATCCCAATGCAGCCCTTCATGAACCTATGGAGAAGCAGTGTTAATTAACAGGCCCAATGCCAGGAAAGTGAAAATTTTATGATTCTTGGCTCAGTTCCAACAGATGTACAATTTAGCAAGATGTTGACTGCATGGAGAGTGACATGCAGGCTCTTGTTGAATCAGTTCTGAGACATGGAGCTAAGGAGAAAAAAGTAGAAGTTGAAAAATTGGAAAAACAGCTTAGTTAAAAGCGTTTACAGTTTAAAAGTAAATAGAAAGTCCTATTTTATGTTTATTTTATTTTTATTTTTTGCAGATTTGCGCATGTACAAGGTTTAAAACGTTCATGAAATACTGTAAAAAAAAATATTGACGTTTTGAGCAGCTGCATTCCTCTAGGTCAAAGATGAAAAGAGATTTTCAATAAAAAGTGATTTACAAAATAGTTTTGACTTGAGTTTATTTATTAATGAGTAATTTCATTCAGTCTATTTAGTGAATGTACACATTTTTAACGTTAACAGGTTTTACCGTGTTATTACAACATTTAACCACTTTTTATTAATTTAAAAATTTAGACATTCTTTCAAATTTAAATCTTGTACAAGAACTACAGCAAAAACCAGTTTGATGCAAGAAAATATTGCACCACCCGGCCAGGCGGCTCACCTTGCTCCTGTAGTTTGTCTCATCTCTGTTGCTAATGAGACCCACTACAGTCGTATCATCCGCAAACTTGATAAGGAGGTTGGAGTTGTGTGACGGTGTGCAGTCGTGGGTCAGCAGAGTGAAGAGGAGGGGGCTCAGCACACATCCTTGGGGGGCCCCAGTGTTCAGTGTGATGGTGCTGGATGTGTTGCTGCCGACCCGTACTGCCTGAGGTCTTCCAGTCAGGAAGTCCAACAGCCAGTTGCACAGCGAAGTGTTGAGCCCCAGCTGGACCAGTTTGTGAATGAGCTGTTGAGGGATGATTGTGTTGAATGCTGAACTGAAGTCTATGAACAGCATTCTGACGTATGAGTCTTTTTTGTCCAGGTGTGTGAGTGCTGAGTGGAGGGTAGTGGCGATGGCATCATCGGTCGAGCGTTTGGACCGATATTCAAACTGAAAGGGGTCCAAGGAGGGAGGGAGGGCAGACTTGATGTGTTGCATGACTAGCCGTTCAAAGCACTTCATGAGGATGGGGGTAAGTGCAATTGGATATTAGAAAAGATATTAAAGTATATTTAAGTTTGCCATAAATGCTTGTCAGTACATTCAACAGTACACGGTAGCTATGTTTCAAAGATAATAGAAGCAATTATGAAATTACATATAAAGATGGTTTAGATGAGTCAAAAAAGCACTCTATGGTTCAGCCAACAGCATATATATTTCAACTATAATACATCTTTTAATTGCAATAAATATGCAGTTGAGTGTCTAAAAATATATTTAGTTCACTCGAAAGTCTTTTTTACAAGGGATGTAGAGCAAAAGTAGAGTTTTAGATCATTTTTGATAGTCCACTTTAGACATTCTACTAACCATCAGTCATTAGAGTATTAGTAGGCTTTTTCAGGTGATGAACGCAGGAAAGAATATGATTCTTTCAGTATGTACTGTAGTTGAGAGACTTTCATGTGGGTTAAGTGGTTGTTAGGGGAAGCCAGTTCATTGCAAACCCACTGCCTGGAAACGTTATAGGATGAAATGATTGGCACGTCAGCTTTCCATGACTAAGAAAAGGTTTTTTTAAAAACACATTTGACCCCAAAAACATTTATTAAAGGATGTTAACTGATTTAAGTTCAAAACAGTGAAACTAACAGCTGAATTCTAGAAATATTTACAATTTAATAAGAACATGTTTTTTGTGACACCTGGCCACACCTAGTAAAACTGGGACTTTCCGGGTAAACCAGGACACGTTGTCACCCTAAGAGCACAGGATGTCAACAATGTCTCAAACTGTGCTCACATTTGCCAAAATGCCATGTCTGCAGCTGAAAGTCAGAGATCTCAATAGGAACTCGTCTCGAATTCTTCCCACTGATCTGAGCTATTTGCTTATCAGCTAGAAGTTACAAAAGGATTTAGTGTTTTACGCTGTTCTTTTAGAATAGCGTATCTTTACAGGATAGAGGATGTTGTAGAACAGCCAGACAAACCAAACAAGAGAGGCAATAAGAGACTGTGTGCCAAAATCACACAGTCAGGAAGGATTTAGCATTTGAGTAGATCTCATATGACTGTAATGCAGAGCCTAAACCTCAGAAGAGCAAATTAAATGTGAATACCCTCCCTGTAATCAGACTGTTCAGCTTGTATGATGTTTCAGAAACGATCCATAGGCTGAGATCATGCTTTCAGTCTAATTTCTTCGTTAAGCCACTATGGTTTATGCTGCATGAACTTGTATTGGATTGTGATTGTTCACCAGTTGTGTATCCTCTGTTTCTCACACACGCACATGCTCATGGGTATAGTACCCCATGTAAACTAAGCATCTGGACTTGATTACCCACACACACACACACACATCTCTCCAGCTACTGAAACTTCAGTGGTGATGTGCATGCAAACTCAACACAATGTCGCTCTTTATTTAATGCACAAGCCTTTCTCGCTGTTCAAACTCACTCCAGAACCCATCCAGCGATTATGTCTCCTGTTCATAGAGCAGCTGTGTGTGTATATCCATCCATCAGCATGTGTACCAACACAAACGCGCTGGTGAACACTATTGTTTGTGCACAGCTGAGGCCTTGAGCTCTACCACTGGAAGGCTGAGTTGTGTGTCAAAAGCTACATCCGCTGTCTAAAAAAAGGCATTTAATTATGCTTTTGACCACAGTTTTTCTGTCTTAAAATCTCTTGTGATTGCCAAAACAATTCAACCGACATGCCATAGCTCAAACAGAAGAGCATGTAAGTGGATTTAGATCATTGTTAAAGATTGATGCAACAGTGTCTTGATTAGAGTTTAAACATCATGGCAATGTCAGTAGCTATGACTTTTGCACAGGCAAAAATTAAAGCACATTTATTTTTGTACAACGAATTCCACAGGTGAAAAATGCAGGAGCAGATGTAAAGCTTTGATAACACTTTAGCATAGAGACCGATTCTCACTATTAACTAGTTGCTTATTAGCATGCCCATTAATATAATATTGGCTGTTTATAAAGCACATATTCTGCATGACCATATTCTACATCTCTAATCCTACCTAGTATCTAAACTTCACAACTACCTTACTAACTATTAATAAGCAGCAAATTAGGAGTTTATAGAGACAAAAGTTGTAGTTAATGGTTTGTTAATAGCGAGAATTGGAC